GTCGCTGAGATTAGAGATTTAGAAAGGCACAAAGCAAGAAGAAGGTCTTTGATCCCAAAAAAACAAAAAAAGTCTCCATTTTTATTTTTTTGTTTCGGAAACATATTAATGGATATTGTTGGATAGAGAAGCGATCGCAGAAACTAGAAATCGAGAGGCTAAAAAGACAAGGAAAGGGATATTCGAAAACCCTAATTTCGATTGTATATCCCTAACTTGTACGAAAGCAAAAAAAAAAAACTCAACTTTTGTGATTTCGAATCGAATTTGATTTCTGGGTTTTGATGGGTTTCTTAAAGAAGTTAACTGGGATTTTCGGGTTTGGGCATAACGATGGTGGTCACGGAGTTGCGAGAGATGGAGATGGTGAAGGAGATACTACCGGAACAGTCTCCGGCGACGGAGATAAACGCCGGGAAGATAATCAGCCGAGATTCCGTGAATCCGGACTTCCAAGGAAAGGTTTTGGTGTACCGGTTCAAGTCGCTGTTGAACGATCTAATCCTGGTCCTATTCTTCAGCCTTGTGCTGCTTCAGATGGTGGTATTCAGGTTAGTCTGATGGTTGATTTGTACTGTCTGGGAAGTCTAGGGATTGGTCAAATTCATGACAGTTTAATGCTTCTTGTGAACACATTTTAAGTCCTAGGTTATTACAATTGATGTTTGGATGTCTAGTGATGGAAGAAATTCATGAGGATATTTGATTCTGATTCTGAAATATGGCTTGGAGATACTGCAGTTTTTCATGCTTGTTCTGTAGAGGATTGTTGATTCTTCGTGTTTTTGGTTTGGATTACCTTAAGCTGGAGGGTAAATTGGTTTGAGTTTGTGAAATGATCCGACATTCATATGCTGCTATAAACATCGAATCCTGTTCTACGCATGTCCTTGCTTGGAATTGGTTTTTATATTCTTTTGCGGATGGCTTTACATTCGTCATTACTGTACGGTTTTCTCAATTCATCTATCGAATTTAGGTCTCGTTTATGATATAGTTAGTTCACTGTCTCTTTTTAGCTTTCTTTGTTCGTCTTTATATGTGTGTTTAATGAATAGTCCTGAAAAGATTATGTTTCACTTGATTGATTGATTAGTAGCTGTAAAAGAAAGTCAGTGAAAGCAAGTAGTTTCCCAATCCCGCGAGAGATCTCTCTACTAGGAAAACTATAATCTACAAAGCAAGTAGTCATATATGTTCGGGTTTCCCAATTCCGCGAGTGATCTATTGAATTAATTGTCTTTACGATAATTCGTTCAGTATCACTTTACTAGGAAAACTATAATCTACAAAGCAAGTAGTTATTCATGTTCGGTTTTCCTAATTTGGCGCATGATCTATTGAACTAAGCGTCTTTATGATAATTCGTTCAGTATCGCTCTACTAGCCTAGGAAAACTATAATCTAAAAATCAAGTAGTCATTGAGGTTCGGTTCTTCTAATTTGGCGAATGATCTATTGAATTAAGCGTCTTTATGATAACTCGTTCAGTATCACTCTTCTAGAGAAACTATAATTTAACAAAGCATAATTAATCTCATGTCTTGATGGTTGGGTATTCATCATGACTCGCGTGGCTAATATAGAGAGTTTAAAGAAACTTGATTGGTTATATTGGTCGAGAAAGACAATATTTGTGATGATGGATATGTACTTGTTCACTGAGTTCATTTTGATGGAACTAAGCTAACATCTCAGCATAATCATTTACTCAACTTAGTGTAACCGAAAAAATTATACTATCGAATATCTTTTTTGGATCAGGGACTAAGCTGGTACTCAATGCGGCTAAGGATTGATGAAGACGGAGATGTTGCAGATGAGTTCTTGGAAGATGAGTTTTGTAAGACTTTGCCAAAAAGATGCAAAACAAAAGCTGCAAAAGTGAGAGGTTTAGTGATATCATCGGATGGGAAACTTCAGCCATTAATGAATTGAACAATGAACACCCAAATGGAAGATTGAGAATCAGAGAAAGGTTAGATTGCATTAGACATTTTAATCTCGAGATAAATCCGATTAGATTATGGTTTTGATTCTTGAGAAGTTTAAAATGTTGTTTAACTGTGAATTTTGTTTCTGAAAAATGAAAATAGACAGTGACTCCCTTTGAGCAAATTGTTGGAGTTGTGTATTACTTGCAAGTTCTTCGTGTGTATACATAAGATCCGTTCTCTTACATAATCTCCTCTATTTTCTGACTAATTATGTTTTAAAGAATTAGTTAAAATTAGTGATTGGTTATGAAAAAAATATAAAGGAGAATAACTAAATTATTCACATGAAACCTTAAAAAAGTATAAA